TGGATGCGGCTTCCGCCCACTAAGTTAAGTTCCTGTTTCTGCCCGTTGCCTATTGGGGGTGGGAGTCCCCTATCATAGCCAAACATGGGTAAGCCACATACAAGTCGAATGAATATGAGTTGTGAATTTTCCTACTAAATAGTAGTATTATGTTTTTGTGTACTATGCGTACCTGTAGTTCCAAAAATTGAGTCAAATTTGGAAGGTATAAGCTACCTTGTGCATTTCAGTGATCTTAATTTGGTTTGATGGCGAATTATACATTTTTTTCTTTTCCAATCATCCCTTCAAGGGCCAAGAGAGTAGTTGTTAATCGAAAAAGAGCTCTTGCCAAAGTGAGCTCTGTGTCAGGCATTTTGACTAACCCTATTTCACTACGCTGCTGTTAAAACAGCAGCAACGTGATTGTAGCAATCTTCTTTCTTCTTTCTGTGTTCTTCTTTCTTCGGCTGGCCATTTTCTTTTTACGATATATCGATATATCGTGTGTAAAAGAATTTGATTATTACTTGCGTCTTCTTTTCTTCCGTTTTCTTCCTGTCTGTTTCTTCCTTCTCTTTCTTCTTCTGTTCCTTTGTTCTTTTCTTCTTTCTTCTTCTGTTCCTTTGTTCTTTTCTTCTTTCTTCTTCTGTTTCCTTTGTCCTCTGTTCCTTGTTCCTTTGTTCTCCTGGAGCTCCTGTTAAACACGTCCGTCCTCTTCAAAGGCTGCTACCTCTCTACCTCTCCAAGCTTCCCCACTACAACCGATCTGCTATTATAGCCTTCCTGTGCTCCTGGTATATGCTATAATTACAAATTGGCCTTTACAGTAACAGATTTCCAATGTGTATAACGTGATACAAAGGAAACAAAACGTGTGAAGACGTACTAACAGGCCTACTTCTCACGCGATATCGATGTGTTGAAGTAGTACTGATGTGTACTTCTCACGCGATATCGATGTGTTGAAGGAGTACTGATGTGTACTTCTCACGCCATGGCAATGCCTCCCTTTACAGTTTGTAATGTATGTTGCACAATGGGCTTTGTAAGTGCCTTAGCTTAATATCAATTATGTCTCGTATCATTTAATATTGCATATCTTAACATTATGATTTAACCATAACATTTATATCTTTTCATGTCCTTGTATTTCAATTATCTCATTTTTCTTCTTCTTTCTGGCTTATCTGTTTTCAAACAATTAAAGGGACTTTTGATAGTTATTGTACCCTCTCCTGACAATCCCAAATAAAACCTTTTGGCTTAGACTCTATTAGCAAGAGAAATGCCGTGGCGTAATATCCATTTTTCTCCCTGATGACACCTTCTATATATAAAATACTGTGCCGCGCAGAAGATTTGTTTCATCTAGGAAGACTTTTTCTCCTGAAGTCTCCAAAAGTTTATAAATTGTGACAGTTGTGAGCCCCCCGACGGTTGTGGGACCCCGAATTTTATATTTGCCCTACCCGTATGCGCGGCCATCATAAAAATATATAAAGCCAGACAATAATGTTACGATACGTTGAAATGTTAAAATAGTCCCAATCTTCTGCCTCTTTTCATTATATACAGTGGAAGTATTTGATTTCGATAAAGAACGAAATTAATTGCATCAATCGGCTACAAACAAATTGGATTCAATTCGTATTTTGAGATCAGCTACATAATAACACATCATAACATATACATTCGACTACTACTGACGAAAGAAATACAACACATCGTCTCTCTATTAAACTCCAATTTAAATTCAAAAGCATATAAAATCTTTACTCTTCATCTGTATAATTAACTTTCTTCGTTGCTTTTTAATAAGAAAAGTCATTATACAGTTCTTTTATTTAAGTAAAATTGTGTCTATTACATCTCTTGACAGTCTACAACATCTCTTGAAAGAGTTTTGTCTTTGTTTTATGTTTGTCAGCTTGTTATATCCTGACATGCTTTAACTTTTCAAAATTAAAATTCTCAGGGTAATTAGAATCTATTTTATTTTCGTAATTAGAGAATTTCATTGGATAATTCAGAGCCAAATATACGTGTCGTCACAAATGTATTACTTTCGGTGAGATATGTTGAAACTAAGCATCTGTATACAAATTTAATTAGAATATTATTTAGTTACATGATGACTTTTGGCCCATTTAAATGTGTTGTCAATGTTGCATCAAGACTACTTTGTTTTCATTGCACCTTACTTATATTATGATCAAAAACATAAAAGTGCATTTTTAACTGGTTACGCTAAAGAAATCATTTACGGTTAAATAATATAAAGAATATTGCGTATCAGCAATTGACAATCAGTAATATTGATTCATCTGGCAACAGGCTTTGGTTAAACATTCTACTTCATGATTAAACCCAAAATTCTATATAAAGATTGCATACTGACCAAACTAAATATATACCTACCTGGACTATGTGTAGCTTTTATATGCATCTCTTTATTCCATGTCCCACAACTTGAACCTATCAAAAGCACTCAAACATTTTACCGCATGTACACTAAGCTGGGTGTAATTGTGTCAAGCAAATCAAGAATGAGTACCAACTGTTCACATTGTACAACAACATATTACTGATATTATGTTGAATAAAAAATAAAATAAACAAAAGGATTATGATCGCTGTCATATTTGATATCAGTTATATATCCAAAAACCTTAAAAATATGTATACACATACAATCTGCGTTCTATATAAAACAAACGACATATTTTAACTTTCGAGTTAAAACATTGATATAAAACACTGCTAAACATAAATCATTTTTTAAAACTTCATTAAACACGTATTGTTAATGATTAGAATTATTTTGATAAACTATATTTTATTGGTTATGGCTAATATTTTAGGCAACTGTCTCATTATAAAAGGGGAATACTTTTAGCCTAAAGTTAAGACAATACGAACGTTATTGGTGCTCTTGAAAGACTCTGAAATACGACTTACAATGATAGCAGCTTCCTGTATCTTTCATAATACCATCGTTGGATATGAAGGTTCTCGGAATAGGAATCAGTGCCTGCAAAATAACGAGATCAGTTTGATGGTCATTCTAGGATGTTATGAAAAAAATAAAATCGCGTGTTTGTTGTATATATATATATATATATATATATATATATATATATATATATATATATATATATATATATATATATATATATATATATATATATATATATATATATATATATATATATATATATATATATATATATATGTATGCTGTCATTACAAGAATCAGCGGTAGTGTACAATCTGAAAGTAATTCCAGTACATCGACAAGCCGGTTTGAAAATTCATAAATACATATATAAAAGGTACTAAAATAAGAAACATCATGTATGCAATCAAATATGTGTAATGTCATATAGGAGATTTATCCAGGAGCCATGTTGTCTATTGCCAACATCGAAGGATTCTCTGTGGAAAAGACTCCAAATTGTCAGTGAGGCACATGGGGCATGAAATAAACATCATTTCAAATTATTGCCAACACGGAAGAATAAATGAACCACGAGCATGCTTTGAGATATCAAGAGCTCACTGCATATTGAAGTGACACGTATATTAACGGCAAATAAAAACAAAAGATTAAATAGATATGTATGTCCCAACGTAGAACTATCGACATGACAAACAACTAAATTTATTCTCTATTCCATTACCCGTGCCAAACGATCCGAATACAGTAGTCCCAACAGATAATAAAAATATCAAATATTTTAATTGGAAAATGATCTATTGTTATAAAATTGTTCTTTCCAGAGTCGACCATGTCAAATACCACAAATATGAGAGCTGATGCTCATGTATTTTTATCCAGATAGCATTGAAATACCTAGAGAGAAAACCTAATATGAACATGGGAGTTCGACAATAGGAAATCGGTATACAGTGAATATGGTTATATATTCGTTGCTTCGTTGTATTCAATATCTGCGTCATTTACACAATGTACATCCATTTTCTATATCCTTTAATGTTGCAACATTAGAAATTCAAACAAGTTGGCATGATTGGTACATTTCAACCCTGAGGTAATAATGCTGCTAATTTCAGATTGCGTGGCTTTCTTTTTCTAAATAAATAAAAACTGTCTTAAACATCGTAAGGTTTTGATATTAATAATTTTCCAGGATTGATAAAGAGTGATGTAAGAAGGAAAGGAAGATATAAATGATGTTATTTAAAAAAAAAACAAAGCTTCGTATCTTATCTATATCACTCAATTTTTTATGACTATTTTCTGATACTGAAGGCAAAAAATAACACGATAGAGCTGCATATCTGAAAGATCTGCCATCTTTATTAAAATGGTTTAATTTGTCTCTTAAACAAATGTTGTCTCAGCAAGACACTTTTCCAAAAGGCTATCTCAATATGGCAGTGTCATATCTAAAATTGCTTGCAATTAAATTCAGTATTTTAATAAAATAACACAGAAATTATCAACTCCGATTATCAGTCATTAGTTTTCTAGTGGAAGATAAATGCACAATTATGTCAGTCATTAGTTTTTTAGCAATAGATCAATGCACGATTATGTCTATTATTTTCATAATAACATGAAGTATTTCTTAAATACGAGTATCATTTCTAGCAGTCACAGAAACGGATGTATAATTTTGGATTTATTACACCTCTAACTATGTCATACAGATTTATATATTACCATTTTAAGGCACCTGAGCACAATATGATTACATGGCGCCAAATAAACGTTAAGTTCTAAAAATGTGAAAATTGCAAAATTCACTTTAAAAAATAAACCGTTCCAAAAATACGTAAAAGTGTGTGTCACATTTTAGGACTTTCGTTTCATATGATACGGCCAATTCTGATTTCGTTTTGAAATTATTGTATTGTAAGTTTTACGCTATTTTTGTAAAACATTGGACTCTTTGCATGACGGAGAGCATGTTTAGAGGAAGGACACGAGAAACCCTTGTAAAAAGCACCTACCAAAGGAAAGCTACTGACAAGCTTTTCTAAAATACCTATACTGGTAAAGCTGGGATTCGAACCCAGGCTAACAGAAGCTAGATGTCACTGATTTGTAAAGGAGAGTGCCTTACACCACTCAGCCACTTTGGGCCCGTGAATTCAGAAATGAACATCATAGATTCAACTACCGATTTCATGTTTCCAGATGCTGATTAATTTGACTCGTTAAGCAGAGGAAAAAGGTTTTTCTTTCCGTTCGAAATTTTTCGTCCCCATTAAATCCTAGATAATATAAATAAATAATGTCCATGCTTCAATTATTACTCAATATAATTACTTCTTTGCCAAGTCATTGCGCAAATAATATGCTCACCACATGATGATGAATTCCATCAGTGCGTTGGATATTACACTATCAGTCACGCTACACACACACACACACACACACACACACACACACATACATATATATATATATATATATATATATATATATATATATATATATATATATATATATATATATATATATATATATATATATATACATATATATATATACATATATATATATATATATATATATATATATATATATATATATATATATATATATATATATATATATATATATATATATATATATATATATATATATATAATTCATTTTGGTTTCCCTTCTTCCTTTAAAATCTCTGGTATGGCTTTCCATCCCACAGAGGCAGAAACCACAGTGGTTCCGGGAACACAGCTGCATAGCGTAGGTTACATTTGGATAAATGTGTTGCATAGTTTGTAACTAAGTTATGGTAACAGCCAAGACATTTAACACCTGTGCAGTAGCATTGCGGGTTAGACTAGTAATGAGCTAGATGGTTCGCACCGCGAGACGTCACTGCTCGTACCTATCCATCATACATTATCCGGAATAACTAGTACTGAGAGACTGTACCCTTCAAGGAATATAAGAAATATAAGAATGGTCGATATACAAAAATGTACTGAGCAACCAAACAAGGCAATACGAGAAAAGGTTGACACCACGTCTATGTCATGCTCTAATAAGACATATAAATTGGCAATAAAGCAAAAGAGAACTTATTTAGATCGAAGGAAAGCGAAACAAAAAAAATCTGCGTAGATTTTGTAGACACTACGATAACATTCTGTATGGCCTATAAAGAAACAAACTAGTACTGACAAAAAGGATAGCAGCTATGCAAGAAATGATGGGCATAAAGACTATATGTGGCAGTGCATGGTACTCGTTCGGGGACAACTTGGGGAAAACAAGTGAAAATCGTTCCCACGTGTGAATGATGTGCATGCGTAAAAAGTTGTTCATCCTTTAGGAGGTGAGTATTGCATTACAGCCCCGTTTGAGTAGAACGATTGTTGCAATAAACCATAAGCTGTGCAAAATAATACAGTTAAAGAACAACTTACAGTCTTCATCAATCGTTTGTTTGATGACCACATAAAACAGAGAAAAAGCTCATCTGTATGTAATTTTGGTGATCTTTCAGATTTCTTAATTTTCCGTTCCGGATAGTCATCATGAATATGCGATAAGAATGCGACGCCAAGAAAAAAAGAGTGCTGTTCGACAGTCGTTGTAGCTAACAGCATGCTCTTTAATTAACTGGCGATTCCAAGAAAATGTCCTGTGTACAAGATCTTTTATTCTCTGATGATACCAAAGGAGTCCCCTGTATACATGGCTTTTTAAGTAGTATAAGGAAAGGCCGCTTTCAGCCCAACGACCCCTATCCCCACACCCTCCAGACCTCCAAATAAATATAAAATGACCAATTCTCTCTATCCTAAACTCTCACCCCCAATGATATACACATACAATTGTAAAGCAGATCCTAGCTCATAACATGTATTCCTTACTTGGTAACATCAGTTATCTAATCAATATCATATATAGAACCAGCCAAGCTAGAACATGTATACCTTACTTGATAACATCTGCTACCTAATCAATATCATCGTATAGAGCATAGTCAAGTTTTAAAAACCCAACCCCTACACAAATCCAAAGTCAAATATTCTTTAACTACACAAAAAACTGGTTAAGTGGCAGATGTATTTTTTAAGGAAAAGGAGGATGTGAGCGCAAATATCTTTTTTTCACAGCCTCCAATCTTTCAAAATATAAATTACCTCTATGAGAGACCTTAAAAACCCAACCCCTACACAAAATCCAAAGTCTATAACTATACAAATAACCTAGTTAATTTAATCAATAATCACGCTAAGATCCAAGCTATAGAACACCTGTTGCAAATTACCTAGGTAACGTAATCAATAATTGCGCGAAGAACTAAGTTATGTAACAGATGTTAATAATTCTATGGAGACCGAGCCAAGTAAAATGTTTTAGTAATGTTATATACGTCCTACGGAGATCACGTGATTAGAAGGAATGTTCTCGACTAAGGAAATACTGTAATGCTCATGCGTGATTGGAAGTTTCTGGAAAATGAAATACTATAATGCGCATGCGAAAACGCCTGTATCAAAGGCAGGTACACGTCTAATCACGCAGTTTGAGGGAGCGCTTCATCAGATAATAGCCACACGGACCGGACATTTACAAGCCGAAAGGGTAAGTACATTATTTATACTTCATCACCAATGATTAATGTTTCAACTGTTGACATTAAAAATACTTCATTATCACGATGATAGAGACTAAACTTTACTTTACCACTCACACAACGACGAGATTCCAACAAATCTTTTATTTGTGGCTTGTTTAGAGGATATTTGATGTCAATAAAATATACCTCTGACCGATCGAGATCAATTGCAAGTTTAGTATATTTTTGTTGGCTAATAGGACTATGAAAGTTTTTAAATTCCGCTAGTAACCTTTGATACAATTGTTCGAGATAATTAAAATACTCGCTGTCATCAGATCTGATGAGCGAAAGTTTTAGCTTATTACGTGTTCCACTAAAACATATATCTGATGTTTCATTATTGATTTCTACTGTCAATTGTTTGCCGTCCATCATTAGATAATTGATTTTGCTACTGTAGCTATTTGTCATTGTCAAATTTTCAAACATTATTTCTTAAGTTTAGATAAAATTTCAGTTGGAAAAGATAATGTCAAGTATAGATCTATCATCATGACAATACCCTAGTGCAAGTGTATCTACTCCATTTTTGCAATAACGCTTATCATCAAAATTACTCAATCCGCGTTTGATAATAACATCTGTTTCTAGCTTATGATGATTAGTCCAAATTGCCATAGCTCTCATAAAACTAACACCGCCATCAGGCGCGTACTTGTAGTCATCAAATTTCATAAACTTTTTAACAAAATCACGAGGCAGACCTTTTGCTTTTTTCGTTATTTTATTATTGCCTAATTATACGGCATACATTTTGCTACGTAATCCGATAAAATATTTGATAGCGCTCGAGTTCATTTCATCTATGAACTTGCCAATCACCTTTTTATTTGCGTCGTCATGAAATTTACTGTCACGTGGGTAATCAGAAAGATCAAACAGATGTCGATTATTATACATGTCTTGATAGATGTCCTCGCATTCGATTTCATACACAAGTGAATCAGTATCAGTAAACAATAATCTACTAGCCGGCCACTGAATTTTAGCAAAATTATAATGAAAATAGTACATCAGCCACTTTGATAAATCTAACACTGATGCTCCAACATAGATCGGCTTGTTTAGTTTTAGATTTATTTTTCTTCTTTGTATCGCAACAAGATTCTTATTAAAAATTTTCATGCTCACAACATCATCGTCTGACACAAGTTTGTTTCTACGAGTGATATCATTAACTAGTTCGATATTTACGCGTTTCCTAATATTCTCTATCGTCTTACCAAAAACGGAATTGTTCATCAGTTTAAAGAAGTTTTTCTCAAAATCAGTTTTTGCTACAGCTCTTCTTGAAGTGTTCGAGTTAATACAACCTTTCATCCACGGCGACTGATTAAATTTTAGTATGCGATCAACTTTTCTCAACACAAGACCAGCATCGACTGCTTGTTTCAAAGCTTTGTAATGCAAAACATAATTCCGTTTAAGAAGGAAATTTGGTACTAGTCTTTGACCATGGAATGTTGTCTTGGTGATGCTAACGCTTGTTGTTCTTTTGATAACAAGCTATAATCTACAACCATCGATTCCGCGCAGAAAGGGTAATCGTTATGCAATTTGTGTAGCCAAGTTGGATAATCAAGATCAACTTCAACGAAATATGAAACAGCTTCGGGTATCTTTTTTCTGTTTCAGATAGAAATCGATCAGCCGTGATCAAGTGAAATCCACCAAGAGGCATTGGTTCTATCATTGAACTACCATAAAGATTATTACAATCCAGAAAAACTATATACATCGAGGGAAGCTCAGGGTTATACTTTTTTAAATATTTGTTGCTTGCTTCAGCATATTCTTTTGTTATCACGCTAATACCGCCTCGGATACCTTTTCGATAAAATTGAACATATCGACGTCAGTCAGAAATTCCAATCTTACCTTACTAAACTTTAGCAGAGCATCCCATGACAACCCATGGGCAGAATAATTACAACAAGGATCTAATCCGTAATTATTATAACTTACGTCTCGAAAACTTTCCAAAACATCTGCTAATAATAACACGTCCGTTTTCAGGTATAAATCATGATAATCACCAAAAGTCTCACAATCAAACTCTTTCCAGATATCTTGTGCATACGTCTACTCGTCATCGGTTATATTTTCATTTTTAAGTTGTGAGTAAAATTTATCTTTGTCAGGTAAAGATGTTTCATCAAATTTATTCCAGTCGTCGAGATATTCGTATGGAAAAACTCCTTTTTTAGCTAGTAGATTAAATTTATCTCCAAAACAGTCTCTTAGGTTATCAAATTTACTACAACCTTTTACTAGCTCATCTAGCGATGCTGCCATAAACTGCAAGCTGTCAATAAAACGCAATTTACCTAGCGTAACTGACATATACTTTTCAAAATTATTTGGAATGCATTTGATGACGTTATCGAGTTTTAGACGAGCTTTTATCTCAGGATCACCAAAAGCTTCCACGATAATATGGCTATCATAACCTCGAAAATTGTGAAGAATAACTGGAATAAAATCTGGAGCATGAAATTTTA